AACAGCCAAATACAGCAGTAATAATAATCTAATGATAGAATATAATATAGTGTAACAGCTGTAGTTCCTTATTCCCCCCAGGGTGTCCTGACTCCATCCTCTGTTCCTCTAATCCAAGTCTACAGGAGGACGCACTGGTCCCTGAGGCCTCTGGTTACTGGTTGAGGGTCAGTCCCCATACTGGGGTCAGAGGCCCGACCCTCCACCACAGGGAGCTTTAAACCTGCCGTGTCGTGGGGAAAATCTCTGTTTTCAACCCCAGAGGAGAAGACCTCCAGTTGATCCTACTCTCTATGATCTCTTCTAACCTCTGACACTCTCCAGTTTAAAGGATATCACACATACAGAAAGGCAGTTCTCATCATATATGACCTCTGTACAATGAACATATACAGATATCAAACATTTCTGATGCCCACCAACATACAGCAGACAGAGGCCCTGGAGAGGACTACGTAACTCACCTGGAGGATGCTGTATTCCTCGTACACCAAAAGGAAAATGATGAAAACTCAGTCGTTATTTGCCTTTAAAAAAAATTTTTCTGTGTCCAAAAAAACAAAAAAAAAACAAAAGTGTTTGTGAGAAATAACAAAGTCTCTGTATCACGTCTGTTGACTATGTTGTTCCTCTTTCTCTTCCCCCTCAGATAGAGGAACATTCATCATGTGTCTTCCTGGTAGACGGCCATTATTCCTAAACCACATAGTTCATGTTAACTCAGTGAGTGCCTGTATTAGTCCTTTATTTGTTTCAGTGGGGCAATTGATTTTGCCACAGTAGCAACAACAGTAACACAGGGTGAGACATACAGATAGAAAGAAAAACCCACCAATGACTACACATAAACACATAAAAACATAAAACTTGTCATAACTCGGCTCCTAGTCTATGACAAATACGGCATAGGACACAATAGATGGCAATAAATGAGTGAATTTATTATATTAACTTAAACAACTGAGGTTATAAGTACAAATGTGAAGTCTGTCAGTCAGTAACATCAGTAATGTAAATGTGGATGTGTGAGCAATATGAGGTTTAATGTTGTAAAGTGAAAACAAAGCAGAAACCAAACAAAGAGAATGTGCTGCTGCTGCTGGCGGGATGCAGCCGAATGAGAGAGAGAGACCAGAGCAGAGTTGAGACAGGGTTTTTATCCTTTTAGGAGCGCCTGAACCAGGAGCTCCAAATCCATACTCTGCTGATGGTACCTTCAAGGACACATAGGAAAAACAATAACTGGTCAACCACATCAGCACATCAGCACTAGACAGGGACTGTCACAAACATTAAACATCATTCTTTGAAAACTTCCTTTTCAGAGGCACAAACCTTGGACAGACCCCGGCTCTAGGTGGGTGGAAGAATTGATCTTCTATAACTGAGAAACATTGGCTCAAATCAAATGTGGCTGCTTGTTTTTCAAATCTTCTTTTTGAACCCACAATAAGAGGGAAAGTGTTTCTATGACTCAGATATTAAAATATGAACAAATATTCAACTTTGAGTCTAAAACTGAACTTTGTTGGTAAAAACTTTCAGAGTCTTTCAGGATCAAATTCAGCATCTGTGTGAAAATAGTTCCAAGGTGTAAAGAGTGGCTTTGATTTGAACAAACTAAATTCATCATCGTTGGTCATCGTGGAACAAATGTATGAACTTTGATCTACTCAGGTTTTATGCTCATGGTTGTCTAATATAGTTTTATATGTCAGTACTCACGTGCAGTCTCATGTTCTTTTAAGTTCTCATAAATTGTACCACCCGGGGCCCCTTTCATCGATATGCTTAAAAATCAGCTTTCGTGTTAATATTTGAACACTTTTTGGGGGTCTAAACATGCCCGAAAACTCATGAAACTTTGCACAAAATTCAGTCGTGGCGAAGGCTACGGTATTGTCTTGGTCCCGTAGATGGGCGTCACAAAATGGCTTAGCCACGCCCCCCAGAATCAGCCCCAAAGACATGTACGACCGACATGTACGAAAATTGGTACGAATGTGTATCATGATCCCTCATCATCCCGCCATGAAGTATCATGGTTTATTATTTCATGTTCTACTCCATCAGGATAAGATCCACCTGAAATTTACTTATAAAATGCAAAACACATTGTTGATGATATGTGATCACAGTGGTGAGTGAAAAATTATGATGTACCGCCACTAAACACGAGTTTGCTATAACTTGAGTGTACATTGTCCATTCGGCTTCAAACTTCACTTGTCTGATAAGAGTCCCACCCTGAACACTTCTATGTGATAATATTCACTGATAGTGAGAGCGAATAATCCCAGGGTTCGTGGCCTTTAAGTATTAGCCCGCCTCCATCACTCGGCAAGCTGGTTGTTTCTGTCTCGGAGGAAGTCGGCACAACCAAGCAGCCACACAAAAGCCTCCAACCCAAGCCTGCTAGCAGTGGAAGAATATCTAGAGCACATTTCTTACATAGAGGAAATGACAATATCAGAGAGGAGAATATGCAATTAATTCTGTCCCATCTAAAAGGCCACGTCCACTTGTTGCTGCCTTCACGGTCTAAACCGGACCCTGCTGCACAGTAACACTGCCACTTTCTGGACAAACACACACACCATCCAAAACCAGATGTCCCAGAACCTCCAAACTGTATTCAAACTTTAACAAATAGACTCAAAGAATCAATAATAACATATCTGCTGTCAACTGAAGAGTCCCAGGATGAAAAACATCGATACTAAAGAAGGGTTTAATACAGAAAGACATACAGGATGACAAGATAAACAGATGAATTAGAGCTCAGAGGTGTTTCAGTTGGACGCCGCATTCATCTTCCCGTCTCTAAACCCCCGATTTAACAGAAAAACTTGTGTTTTGACGAGTTGTATTAATGTGCAGTCAGACTCTAATGTACAGCCTACTGTCAATGTTCAGACTACAACAGCGCCCTCCTCCCATACACTGCTCATAGGCTGACACCTGCTGGTGACTTAATGGAACTGCACAGAGGTGACACACGGAGGTGACGCGGTCTTCTTTCTAAATTGTAATATTGACTCACAACCCATTAACACTGCTATGAAACTTATGTGTCTTGTTGGCAAATATCATATCCATAAGGCTGGAACGCTTCAAACCTAATGTTCATCTGTATTTTGTTGAATTATAATTTCTCTTTGACTTTGATTAACAAACAAGAAAGCCATAAAACCTCTCAAATATTTGGATAATTACTATGTAAAAGTAAACAATAACTTCTATACATACATACTGTATATGTGAGTTTATAATTCACTCCTACAATGTGATGGCATTCAGAAACTTTTTATTTTATATGTGTAACAGGTGTGTGGATTGGGCATAAACAGAGGACGACTCACAGAACTGTTAACCAGCATTTATTTGCTCCTGCAGAAGACAATATAGCACATTCATTTCCTTCTGCTCTTTTTTTCCTGCACCTCTTCTTCCTCAGCAATGCAAAACAACACTGTGTGATTTCATTATCTTTCTGAAAATACATATAGATAAATTCATTTAAACATTACAGAGTATATGTAACTCAATGTGCATATTACAAAAACAAAACAATTACAAAAAGAGCTGTTACAGTTTACCAGAAAACATTTAATTTCAATAACAATATAAACTATATAGAATAGGTTAAACAGAGTAAAAAGTGTGTGTGGGGTGGGTGACTAAACACAAACAACACAAACGAAGGAGCTACGGAAGGACAAAGTTCAGAAAACTCAATTTCCACTGGAAATAAACCAAAATAACAGAAAATGAAAAAAAACTCAATGAGATAAAATTCAGACTGAATGAAAATGAATAAAATTCACAAACACATATTAAAAGTAAGAATTAATAAATTGCATTTTTAACTCTGATACACATTGTTCCTATGTTTTTATGTTCAAGAGAGCAAGGGGATGAAAGTTTCATGAGTTTTGAACTGCAATTGTGTACACAGTATAAAAAATATGAAAAGAGCTGAATGAACTTTGAACATTTGAATGAACTTTCTACTTTGAAACATTTAGAAGAAGGTGCCAAAATAATCTGGCTCCTCCCATACACTGCTCATAGGCTGACACCTGCTGGTGAGTTTATGGAACTGCAGCTGACAGTTTGTGTGAAAATAAAGGCAGAAAGAAAGAAGAAAGTAGGTACAGGACTCACAGTACAACAGCCAGACCTCTTATTCCTGTTGTTATCAGCGGTCTGAGAGCCATTTAGAGCCACTTTAAACCTCTAAAGTGAGTCTGAGTGGCACCATGAGTCCGGACTCTCTACCGACAGACCTCCTATAAATCCCCCACAGAGACAGGGGCCTGCTGTGTTACTCCGGTAGCACTTATACTAAAATTGGAACGATACAGAGAAGATTAACACGGCCCCCTAACTGAGGTCGACACCACTGTCACTGTTCGGTTGTTTATTGAGAAAATTCTGACCTCAGATCACAGTAATTCTCCCAAATCAACTCTTTTATGGAAACTAAACTTCCCTGAACAACACATTCGGTCAGACTCTAATAAATTCCTCATTCCACATAAAACGAAAGAAGTTCACATGAAGATATTACATAGATACCACCCCTGTAATAAAATATGAAATACATTATAAATACATATTTCTCCATTATGTTCTTTCTGTAAAACAAATCAAATCTATCTCTCATCTATTCCTTAAATGGACTCACAAGAGTTCTGGATTGAAGTTGATTTATTCATTTTATTAAAGTTTAACCAGATTGACACCCATTAATGTCAGAAAGTCCTGTTTCTCATTAATGTTTTAATGTTTGAACCAACTGAATGATATTTGAATAAATCTGTTCTAACAACCTCTTCCTCCTCTTTACAGTAAACACATCAGGTTGGTACTAACTAACATCAGCTGTGTGTGATCCTGTACAGACTGAACTATCTGGTCAGCAGAGAGAAAGTTTCTCTCTCCCTCCTACAGAGGACACAGAGACACTGAGGAACCAGAGCTGAACCAGAACCCGAACCCAGGATAAAGAGGTTCAGTGAATGTGGTGTTGAAGGTGTGGAGGTGGATCAGTGTGTCAGAGGAGACTGTGTAGAAGGACAGAGTGCCAGCAGGACAGTCCACATACACTGCTACTCTACGGGAGGAGGAGGAGGAGGGGGAGGAGGAGGAGGAGGAGGGAGGGAGGAGGAGGAGGAGGAGGAGGGAGGAGGAGGGAGGAGGAGGAGGGAGGAGGAGGAGGAGGAGATGAATGTATCTCTGTTATTGTGACAGACATAGTAGCGACCATCAGAGCAGAACAGACTCCAGGACTGATCATTCCCTCCAAACACACAGTCTGTACTGTTTCCTCTCCTCCTGATTCCTCTGTAACTCACTGATATAGAAACTCTTCCTCTCCACTCGACCTCCCAGTAACAGCGACCACTCAGACCATTTCTACACAGCAGCTGAGGCCAGCAGTTAAATCTGTCTGGATGATCAGGATATGACTGATCCTCCTTCACTGATGTCATCTTCCTGTTGTTGTCAGACAGTTTGATCTCTCTGTTCACTGTGTTTGTGTCGACTGTGAGTTCACAGGAATCTGATGGAGAGAACAAGACACAATACAGCTGCAGTTATTGATCTATCATCTGATCATTGATTGACACTTTGATGATGACATCAGAGCTGTGAATGAGTGATGTCACAGTGTGAAGATGGTTGAATGTGTGCTGCTTTGTTTTCACACTTACACTTCCTCAGACCTGGTCTCAACCATCGGACTCCAGCAGGCTCCACCCTGAAAGGAGGAGGGGGGTCAGAGCAGCATGGAAACATGGACATTACATCGCTCTCATACACAGAGCTTATTCTCTACAAATGGACTTACATCTTCACATGGAGCACTTATTATTAATCAGCTGATAGTCTTTCAGTTCAGTGGAGCTTCTTCTGATTGGCCGATGGCTACAGCTCATTATGTTCACTTATTGATGATATATTATTATTATCAGTATTATATTTGGAACAGAATGTTTACATTGATTACCTTTAAACAGTTTAACATGGAGGTCTGGGTCATGGTGCTGTGTACCTATGTCTTCAAAAGACGCAAGGCGGAGAAAGTGCGCTCGGATGAGGCCACGGAGATGGGTAGGCACAGACATAACTCGATCAGTTTTTCTGTCTCTGAAAACATGGCTCTTGTTTGTGGCTGGAGCTTTGTCAAACATGATGCTACATCTTGGACTGTGACACACTTAGACCCTCTGTCTTTTGTGACATCGGCAAGCTGCATGAGAACCTCTTTACTCGACGACCACGAGCCTGACTGACGTTGACAACGTAACTTCTGTGAACCTGTGTTGATTAGGCCTCAGAATAATTAAATTAAAATCCAAAATACATGTAATAGCCTACGTGTGTCAAAATCATTTCCCCAAATATTCATAAGGAATTTATAAATTGCAAAATATTTTTAATACATTTTTTAAAATCTCCCTCTCGCCACTAGGGGGTGCTGCAGCACCCCTACTTCCCGCGGCCATGTTGTACCCTATCCTGAACATAATTACTGATCGAAAATAGACATGTTAAAATAACCAGAGATACTTGAGGACTGTGATAGGTGGAAATTGAATAAAAAAATATTTTTTTTACCAGCATAGACACCTTTATTTGACAGTTACGAGACAGGAAGTCATGTGAGAGGGAGAGAGAGAGAGAGAGAGAGAGAGAGAGAGAGAGAGAGAGAGAGAGAGAGAGAGAGAGAGAGAGGGGATGTGACATGCAGCAAAGGACCGGGATTCGATACGGTCGGCTGCGTACGTATACGCATTAAACTTCGCTATGCCATGGCCACCCCACACTAGCTTTGTGTCCCATCTTGGCCACCCCAGTAAAAATGTCCTGGATACGCCACTGCACACGAGGCTAATGCTAGTTAGCAGTGTCCACATGAGGCTTCAGTTTATGCTCTTGTTCAGCACAAATACCAAAACTTGTGTTCTTCATCCTCTCAGCAGAGTTCAGACTCATAGAAACTGTCAGCGTTTGAATTAAAGAAATAAAGTAACTTTAACAACACTTAACAAACTCATGAACAGCACAGCGTCTCTCTCTCTCTCTCCCTCTCTCTCTCTTTAATCCTCTCAGAATCCGGTAGGTTTCCTCATACTCATCCATAATAGACCCTGATGGACAATGACAGGTTGACACCTGAATACTCAAATAAACAATAAAACATACGGCAGGAGGTGTTCAAGGACTGCTCAGAACACAGGAAAATTCAATATCTTCTAAAAAACATAGCAAATATACATTTCCCTGCATTAAACACAACTGATCTCACATCAGTAGTAATATAGAATAGAATTTAAAATCCTCCTCCTCACCTATAAAGCTCTTCATGGTCAGGCCCCTTCATATCTTAAAGAGCTCATAGTACCCTATTACCCCTCTAGAACACTACGTTCTCTGAATGCTGGGCTACTTGTGGTTCCTATAGTCTCTAAAAGTAGAACAGGAGCCAGAGCCTTCAGTTACCAAGCTCCTCTCCTGTGGAACCAGCTTCCAGTTGTGGTTCGGGAGGCAGACACCCTCTCCACATTCAAGAGTAGGCTTAAGACATTCCTCTTTGATAAAGCTTATAGTTAGGGCTGGATCAGGTGAGTCCTGAACCATCCCTTAGTTATGCTGCTATAGGCCTAGACTATCGGGGGATTTCCCATGGTGCACTGAGCTCCTCTCTTCCTCTCTCTTTCTGCACTCATTCATGTTCCATTAATGCATGTTACTAACTCCACTTCTTCCCCGGAGTTCTTGTGCTTTCTCGTCTCGCAGGTTCTTATCGATCCTGGTGGAGCCTCAATATTACTGACATCATTATTATTATAAACATTATTATAGTTACTATTATTATTCTCTCTGTTGGGTCTCTGTAAATAATGTTATAAGGAGTTCGGTCTAGACCTGCTCTATTTGAAAACTGTCCTGAGATAACTTCTGTTATGAATTGGTGACATACAAATAAAACTGAACTGAACTGAACTGAATTGTAGTTTAGGTGACGCCTTTAGTTTTTCTGGACTAAAAGGTAACACACGCTGATGGCAGATGACATCCATCAAAATATCCCAATCTATTTATGATATGAGCCCACAAACCTGCAGCGTGACAACATTGACAAATATCAACCCACCATGATGCTCACCAACCCATCAGGATAAACCACTGTCCTATTTTCCATTGTTGAAACAAGACATCGGTCCAGAAAAACAGTTCATCACCTTTCCTCTGTCACCTGACTACTACTACTGTATTGATCCACCTCATACCTGAGAGTGTCCAGTCTCCAGTGTGGATCCTCCAGTCCAGCAGACAGCTTTGTTGCTGAGTCTCCTGGATGATTGTAGCTCAGGTCCAGCTCTCTCAGATGGGAGGGGTTGGAGCTCAGAGCTGAGACCAGAGAAGCACAACCTTCCTCTGTGATCAGACAGCCTGACAGCCTGCAAACACACAGAACAACATGTAGTCCGGTGTAAAAGTACAGGGGTTAAAACAAGTTAATTTGTAACACAAATAATAATTTCAGTGAATTAATTAAATAATTCAGTAATGCAAATAAACTGAAAGTTTGGCTTTCATCTTCATCTCTTCATTAACTGTTTCTCCAGGACTTATTCCAGACCGTGAGTTGGATTTTCTTTGTGACTGTTAATTGCCACTGAGGATAAGGATTTGCCTGCCGTGTGTGTGTGTTTGGGGGGGGGGGGCACTGTTTAGTTTAGAGTTCAGTTAAGTAGCATATTTGATCTGAGTTTGATAAGTATAGAGAAATCATATTAAGGGGTAAGAACTCGGAATTTTACCGGAGACCTGGAATTATTTGAATTTTGAATAGTATTTTAATATTGCCAATTCTATTTTGCTTATTATAAGTGTCTATTTTTCTACAGTGTTTTGCCAATGTTGGTAAAGGGTATATTGTTTACAACTATAATATTTTTATTTTAAAGAAGTCTAATTTGAGTAATTGTGTTATTTCATTTTTGTTTATCTGTGAACTAACAAAGTAAATATTATTTGTGTTAAACTGGAAAACAACTGGTTAGTGAACTGTTATTTCATTTATTTGAAAGAGTTGTCTGGGGTCAGTTATTTAAAATAGTGTAGAGTACGTGTGAATAGAGCCACTGCTTAGTCTAACAAAGTTGTTGGTTATTCATAAAGTATTAGGCCATAAAAGGTTTCACACAAAACAGGTAAACCTTCGTGGTAGCTACATTAATAAATCAAACCCAAACACCCCATCATTCAAGTCCAAGGTGAGTTGCTTTAACTTAAGCATTTACTGAGTGTTGGGGTGCTACAAACACATTACATAATAAACATGTTCAAGGAAAGAGACTCAAACTAAACAAAACAATGTTAGGAAGATTACAATTGTATCCATCAACAT